GTTCTAGGACACGCCTGGGAAGGGGCAGTGGCCGGGGTTCTAGGATGCGCCTGGGAAGGTCCTGTGGCCGGGCTTCTAGGATGTGCCTGGGAAGGTCCCGTGGCTGGGGTTCTAGGACACGCCTGGGAAGGGGCAGTGGCCGGGGTTCTAGGATGCGCCTGGGAAGGTCCCGTGGCCGGGCTTCTAGGATGTGCTTCAGAAGGGGCTGCTGCCAGGTTCTCTGCAGATGCCTGCCTGTGTGCCTGGGTCATTTCCATGTCACTATTGCTGCCCATTTCTCAGAACTCGTAATAAAAAGGAACAACGAGTAATAAGATGTTATGTCAGGTTCCTTTCCTCTGCACACCCCGTTGGCATACAGCTGCAGCAAGCACAGACTCTGGCGCCCGCTAGGACTCACAGACCCAGCTGGGTCCTGGCCACACGCATCCCAGTTAACATGCCTCCAAGCTCAGGTTTCCTCACCTGTGAACAGGAAGGAGCTCTCCGTACGGTGTCTAGGAGGGCAGCTCACCCTGAGAATGGCTGGGACTTCTGGAAGAGGAACTGGCCTGGCCTGGGGCGCGTGGTGCAACAGGGCCATGGGGTGGGGGGAGGTCAGCTGGGACAGCTGATAAACACCAGGCTGGCTTGGGAACCCCATCCTCATGCCCCCAGGGGCCTTAAGCCTCTGCAGAGGGCAAGGGGAGCCCACCCACAGGCTCCTCTCTGGGGCCTTTCGGCCCTGGCAGGGGGTCCCACTCCTTTCCACCTGGGTTTGAGTCTGGACCTGACTCGGCCTGAGTGTCATAACGGTGGGCACATCCAGGAAGTGCTGCTGCTGGCACCGGTCAGAGCAAGGCCAGGCCTCAGCTCCTCGGGCTACCTCCTTCCCCTTTTGTAGGTGAAAGCTCCACAGATGCAACGCACTGGGAGTCGTGAGCAGCCGCCAGGCCAGCCAGCCCAGACAAGCACCTGGCCCAGGGAACGGCCACCGCCCCGGGGTCCAGCTGCACACAGGAGGTGCACGGGAAAGCTCCTTAAAGAAACATCCTGTGCAGCCAGGCGGGAGGCTGTCGGCCCAGCCAACGGGAGGCGCCCACGTCGCCGCAGCCCTTCCCCCAAGGGTGTGGCAGCCCCAGGTCTGCTGTCAGCCCCGCCCTCCATCCAGCCTGGCCAGACCCGCCTCTGAGGCCGGTCCAGGGTGCACCAGTGGCCATGAACAGGGCATGCAGCAGCAGACACTGGTCCTGACCCCAGCTGTGCCATGGGGTGGGCATGCACAGGTCTCCTGTCTGGGGGTAGAGAAGTCTTCCTGACCAGGAACCAAGCCTTGGGCAGCAAGAAGTCAGGGCCACCAGAGGCAGCACCAGCCCCCAGCCCTGGCCCCTGCAGCCTCTCAGCAGAGGTGTGCTGCCCGCACAGGGCCAGGCGGGAAGGCCTCTGCGGCCCCCCAGCACCTGAAGCCTGTGATTCTGGGGGTCTCTCTGACAGTCACCCTCATACTCCCACCACTCTCTCTCCTTCCTGGCTGAGGCCCCCTGGAGGGGTGATTTCGGGAGGTTACCAGGCCCCTTTCCACTAGCCTGCTCCCAGGCACTGTGCTCTCAAGACACGTATGGTGGAGATTCAGCCTCTCCCAGCTGCCTGGCGGTCACAAAGGGCCCTACCTGGAAAACCCGCAGATGGGCCTCGACTCCCTGCTCCCTGCTCCCAGGCTGTACCCACCCTGGTTCCCCCCGACAACCTCTGGGTCCCAACAGAGCATCGCCTAGGGGTCCAGCGAGGCAGCCACCTCTTTCCTATCTGTCCTTTTCAGGTACACTCAGGCCCATCGGCGGAGACCAGCAGACCCCTGGCTGCCCCTCTGGGGGGACAGGCACCTTTCCTCTCTTGGCTGCAAGCACAAGCCACGTTCAGATGCTGCTTTAGCAGTGAGCCTCAGCCCCTGAGCTTCTCTGCCACAGCATGATCTGTCCCTAAGGCACAGAAAAGGGTGGAGACCCACGGGGCAAGACCCTGATTTCAGGAGACCCTAGACCCTGCCTCTGAAGACGCTTGTTCTCCATGTGCTGCTCCTCATCTGTAAAAAGGGACATCTGGCTTTGGAAACCAGGATCCTCTGCAGATGAAGCCTCTGAAAATTCCCAACAGCCCGCACGTCCCGCAGGGCGTCTGTCCCAGGATGTCGTGTCCAGTGGAGCATCAGGCTCCACGGCTGCCTCAGACGGCATATCCCACCTGCCTGCTCAGGTCCCACTGCTCAGACTGAACTATGTCCCCCAAAATCCACAGGTTAAAGCCCCAACTCCCAATAGGAAGATATTGGAAGGTGGGGTGATCAGATTCAGATGAGGCCATGAGGGCGAAGCCCCCGTGACAGGGTCAGTGCCCCCTCTGAGAGACACCACGTTCTCTCAGCTCTTGCTCTCCCCAGGTGAGGATGCAGCCAGAGGAGGCCCATCTACAAGCCAGGAAGATGCATGGCGACCAGTGACCAGCACCTTTCATCTGGGACATCCGGTCCCTAGAACTGTGAGAAAATAGATTTCTGTGTTGAAGATTCTTCCCAGCACCAGTGGGGCACAGGGGGAGGAGCCTACTCACCCACAGCCCCAGCCGCTCAGGAGAAGCTGAGGCTGGAGAATTGTTTGAGATCTAGAGTTTAAGACAAGACCTCATTTTTGTTTTTTAGATGGAGTCTTGCTCTGTTGCCCAGGCTGGAGTGCAGTAGCCGGATGTTGGCTCACTGCAACCTCCGCCCTCTCCCCCACCCCCACCAGTTCAAGTGGCTCTCCTGCCTCAGCCTCCCAAGTAGCTGAGATTACAGGCACTGCCACGGCGCCAGGCTAATTTTTGTATTTTTTTGTTTTTTTGAGACAGTCTCACTCTGTCACCCAGGCTAGAGTGCAGTGGCACTATCTTGGCTCACTGCAACCCCTGCCTCCCAGGTTTAACAGATTCTCCTGCCTCAGCCTCCAGAGTAGCTGGGACTACAGAGGCATGCCACCAGTACCAACTAGTTTTTGTACTTTTAATAGATATGGGGTTTCACCGTGTTGGCCAGGTTGATCTCGAACTCCTGACCGCAGGTGATCTGCCCACCTCAGCCTTCCAAAGTGCTGGGATTACAGGGGTGAGCTGCCGCACCCAGACTGTTACTTTTTAAAGTTTCCTGCTCTGTGATGTTTTGTTACAGCAGTCAGAGCTAAGACACCATCCTATCCCCTTCACCCTACTAGAAACTGCCTCCCAGACTCTAGCCTAGCTTCCTAGTGCAGGCCAAAAGCCGGCTGGCACCAAACGCGGTCCCCAGAAAAATCTCACCGCTCAAACATCCCACTAGACCAGCTCAGAAAGCCAAGGTTCCAACCTGGTCAGACCTGGGTGTTGCAGAAATGACAGACTTGGAGGGACCAGGGTGTGGCCCAGAGCTCTGATCTCCCCTCCTTCCCGTTTCTGAGGCCAGGCATCTTTGGCCACAGGAAACCCCTCCCGGGTCTGGCGGGGTGCTTCACGCAGGTGTGGCAGAGCTGGGGGTGTGAGGCAGAGGCTGAAACACTCATACCTGAGCCGGAACCCGAGGCCTTCTTGCCAGCACACCTGGCTCCTCCCCATCCCTGGGGACCTGGTCACAGTCAGTGCAGAACCCCCATACTGACCACCATGCAGCAGGCCCCTGCCACACACCCACCCTGCCAGGCCCCCTCCTCGGACCCCACAGCATCAGGGCCTCCATCAGTCACACTGCAGGGGTGGTGGCAGCACGTGGGGAGGAGAGACATTCAGGGCCCTGAGCCTGGCAGCCTCCACAGCCTCTTCAGGGACCTGAAAGCCGCGACTCGTCCACCTGGAGGCTACAGAGGCAGCAGGAGTCCCTGCAGGGAGTTCAGCACCTCAGCACGGTCCTGGTTGCTTCTGGGATGCTGATGCCCAAACAGCTCCCACTCCATCTTTATAGTAAGAGTTTTGACAAAGACACAGGGCAGCTTCACGGCAGCTGTTAGACCTTTTAAGTTTGGCCGGCGCAAAGGGGAAGATCTGGCGTCCACTTCACCCATATGGGAGCCCTGCTCTGCTCCACCTGAAGGGCAAAGGCACCTACAGACGAGTCAAGCCCCAGGTCTCAGCGGGGCTGGAGGGACAACAGGTGTCTGGGGCCTCCTGCTCCACCTTCCCCAGGAGCACCCCGAAGGCCCGCAGGACTGGGTCGCGTGCCTTCCTTGGCTCCCACCTCGGCCGGCTCCACCACAGGCAGTAGGCGGGGGTGGCTGGGGCCTGGGGCTCTCCTGACTTGTGAGGACCCCGAGACTCGAGGTCCGACCCTTGCCCTCCCGCGAGGCCGCCGCTGACCCTCCAGGCCCCAGCCCTGGGGGCTCTGCTGCTCCGCAGCCGCACTTCCCGGAAGCGGTGGCGGGGGATGCGCGGGGCCTGCTCCCGCCCTAAATCTGACTCAGGCCTGCCCCCCTAGGACCTGCCCCCCCGGCCCCAAAACCTGACCCGGGCCCGGCCCCC